GCTGTCGCCTGGGAGGGGCCTCCAGCCAGCTCCTGAGCCCCTGCCCCGACTCCAAGCCTGTGCTCCCAGACAGGCCTGCGACGTGGGGCGGGACCGACGGTGTGGGGTCCAGCCGCTGCCCCCTGCGACATGGGTGGCGCCTCACGCCCGGTCCAGCCGCCCGTCCCTTCCAGCCCCTGCGCCTCCGCCGGCTGCTCCGGCCCTTCTTCCTGCTGCAGAACTCGTCTATGATGAAGAAGACCCTCAAGTGCATCCGCTGTGCGCTGCCGCAGATGGCCAGGTCGGCTTGGGGGGTGGGGCGTTCTCCCCGGAACCCCCACCGCGGCCCAAACGGACCCAGCAGGGGCCAGGAGGGCCTCTCCCGGGTGGGCGGGCAGGTGGGCACGGGTGGGGGGTATGTGTGGCTCTGGCAGCCCCTTGAGAGGCCTCACTGCAGACGCCCCGCCCTGCCCAGCTTGAAGGTGCTGGGTCTGCGGCTGCTTCCCTCTGAGGGCCTCTGTCCCTTCTGTGACCACTCCCCACCCCGCTGTCCTTCCGCTCACGCCATTTTGGTATTTGTGGGCTGCCAGCATAGAGTTTATAATCAAGTTAAGCTTATCCTGGCCGGGTGTGTAATCCCAGCGCTCACACTTGTAATGCCAGCACTCGGACGCTGAGGTGGGAGGTTTGCTGGAGGCCAGGAGTTCAAGACCAGCCTGGGCTACAAGACGAGACTCTGTCTCTACAAAACAATTCATTAGCCAGGTGTGGTGGTGTGTGCCTGTAGTCCTAGCTACTCGGGAGGCTGAGGTAGGAGGATTGTCTAAGCCCAGGAGGTCAAGGCTGTGGTGAGCCATGGTCATGCCACTGCACTCCCGCCTGGGCGACGGAGTGAGACCCCGACTCAAAAAATAAAACCAGTTAAGCTCAGCTACTCCTGACGTCACCCCCTCAGAAGCCTTCGTGACTCTGCCGCTTCCAGAAGTGTGTCCCAGGCCCAGCCTCTGCCCAGCCTGGACCCTCCCCGGGCCTCCAGGCTCCCGTGGCCTCTTCCCTCAGAGTCCCAGG